TGTGGTTTAAAAAAATATATTTTAAATATTTTTCGTGTACATTATTTGACACACAATATTTTTTGGATTCATTTCTACACCCAAAAACTCATTAATTTATTCAAAAATTAAATTTGAATAATGTTTGAATTGATGGGAAGCCTTACCCCTAATTTCAATGCCGGAAACAAACCCATAAGTCCAAAAATGTATATCATCTCGCACACATGCCTTAGGTCCTTCATCAATTCCCGGGGTTGAATCGACCACTCGAGTTTTCCGTGTGTGCAGAAATCTCTTCGTGGGATCAATCACCAAGGGTGTATCTATCGATCACCCGAAGTTCTGCTCGATATATTTCCAAAATTTTTTAAGTCTTGGTAATCGATCCCAGGGCTTGGATCGATCACCTGAGGTAGAATCTGTCAAAAATATTTCTTCTCTCCCCCAACGGATTTATTTTTCTTATCCCTATAAAATCTCTATTCCTCCTTCATTTCCAACACAATTCAAGCACTCTTTTTACTTCTTCTCATTCATTCATCTCTTGCTCTATTCTTGATCATCAAAATATTATTTTGAGAGTTAGAAACATATTTTTATTGAATGCAAAGATATTGTCATCCATTAAAGCTTTACATTTAAACACTACTTGCTCAATTGTGTAAGCCTTCATTCTTGTATTGTTAAACTCAACTTTCTTTGAGTTTGTGAGTTCTAAGACTTTTTTGATTCAAGTCTTGTTTGTAAGAAGTTGAGGCTTGTTGAATTTAAGTTCTCGAGTTGTAATCGGTTTGACAAGCACTCATTGAAGCTTGAAGTATAATAGGACCTTTGAGAGAGTCTTTCGAAAGACTGGACTAGGCACGAAGTGGTGAACCAGTATACATCGCGATGTTCTTCTTTCACTTTACTCTTTACATATTTTCTGTGATTTTTCCTTTCGTTTTACGTACACACGAAAAATGCTCATTATGGAAAATAACTGTATTCACCTCCTCTAGAGTTGCACGTTTTATCTACCAAGATGAAATTGGCTCATAATAAGGGAAGTATTTATGACACTTTGGATGACAGATTGCTACCCAATGTATAAAGCACGAATACCAAACTCAACTAGAAAGAGATGGAGGAAGAGGCTATAGCTCCTACCCCAAGTATTAAATACCATATTCAAGCTATAATGAACAATAGTATGAAAATCTAGAATATATAATAGGTGTCATATCCATATTAGTTTTGTACACTTTTTAGAGTTTTGGTGAATAAAGAATACTTTGTTTTTTAAAAAAAAATCTTAAAAATTTATATTTGAATTTGAAAATACAAATCGACATAGATTTGATATTACAAATTCAAATTTTGGAATTTAAAGGAAACAATTAAAATGAATATAAGAAATGTAAATTCAAAAATAAAACCCTAATCCGGAGATTTGTGACCACCCCAAAGGCACCGATAGGCAATAGCCAAAAACATACTCCCTCTGCCTGGAAAAAACACTCCTCCACCTTCGCTCGCTTTTCTCCCAACACCACTGGTGCCTCAGTGCCTGTGCGGCTGAGCCCGAAGCCCCTGACTTATTGTCCCTTCTTCCTTGCTTCTGCTCGCCCGAATTCTCCCCAGGTTTAGCTGTTCTTGCTTTGCATTTGCTTTCTTTTGTGTAATTGCTTCAATTTCTTCGTATGATAAGACTGGAGTGTAGTGTCAGGCGTGGTTAATCTAGGCCTTGTTGGTGGTATTAGTCAATTCTTAGTACAATGTCGTAAAATTTGTACCCTGGATTTGATTTTTCTAGATATTTCATTGATGGATTCAAAAGCAGAAATATGTATTCCAATGCAACGAAAATGAGAAATTTTTGTTCCCTATCATCTAGGTGTTTTTCTTTGTTTAATTGGAAACAACTCATTACAGTTCAAAACATAAACATGACCAACCGTTAGGCACTTGATTTGTGCAGTTACTGCAGTTGAATATTTGAAGAGACTGATGTTATTCTTTGATCCGATATAGTGGTCTAGTGAATAATGATCTCCCTCAGTACAAAGAAATTAATGCTTAGCTAGCTGTGTCTGCCCTCTGTAGGTCAAAGTTAGTATTTTGTTTTGGTTTGCACTACTGGTTTGTTTGGACCTTGTTTTGCTGCATAGAACCCTAATTTTGAAGGGCACTACTGAATATTGTCTTATCTTCTGTTTTAAAACTTGGTTAACTTTTTTTATATGTGCATGCTCGTTAACTATTAGCACTATTTATTTTCACTCTTTCTTCATTTGTTGGAACAAATGCTCTGACATAACAATTCAATTTTCATTTACTAATACATTTTCATTGCCAAAGAAGTGGTCAAAGGGGGACCTTTGCGTGAATGATCTCACAGCAGATGCGATACATGAGTGATACATGATAGGGCGCAATGGCGCTGTTTGATCCATGTAGCCGACTTTGTTGTTGTAATACAATTTTCAGTTCATGCCTAACACATCAAGCAATCAACTCTTAATATAAGGAAGGAAATATTAATTAACTTTGATAAAGCAGTGACTATGTATCTGCATGCTACCCTATGACTTCATTTCCTTCTCATACACTGTTTTGTTCTAGAGTATCATTATTTTTTGAAATATTCGTATATGGACTCTGCTGAAATTAGTTAGTACAGGCATGGATGATGTTGACATAGAATTGGATGAAATGTCATTAGTTGCAGCGGCTGCTGGTTATTACTACTACAATTGTATAAGCAAGAACCCTAGTCATGCTTTGTCCTCTAAAGGGTCTGGGTTCATGGCTGAATTGCTCAATGGCCCCGAGGATGTGTGTAGGGATATGCTTAGGATGGATAAGCATGTCTTCCAAAAGCTATGTGATGTCCTTCGACAAAGAGGCATGTTGCGTGACACATCTGGTGTCAGTATAGAGGAGCAGCTGGCAATCTTTATAAGTATTGTTGGCCATAGTGAACGCAACAGAGTCATTCAAGAACGTTTCCAACATTCTGGTGAAACGATAAGCAGGCATTTTAATAATGTATTGAAGGCTCTTAAGTCATTGTCGCGGGAGTTCCTTCAGCCTCCACAACTCGACATTCCTCCTGAGATCTTTAGAAACAATCGATTCTATCCATATTTCAAGGTCTTTTGCTTGTGTTTTTCATTTTTCAATTCTTGCAAAATCAATTTTTTAATAGCTAATTGGATCTATCTTCAGGATTGCATTGGTGTAATAGATGGTTTGCACCTTCCTGCTCATGTACCAGCCAAGGATCAATCTCGTTTTCGCAACAAAAAAGGATACTTATCACAAAATGTGTTGGCTGCTTGCACTTTTGATCTTCAATTCATATTTGTCTATCCTGGTTGGGAAGGCTCAGCTGCCGATTCACGTGTATTAAGAGCCGTTCTTGATGATCCAGATCAGAACTTTCCTCCAATTCCTGAAGGTGGTTGATTGTACTTGAAGCGATGTGTATTTCTTTTTTTTTTACTTGTTTGCTTAATATTTTCGTATGCAAGTATTTGTCCATTTTCCCAGGGAAATACTATCTTGTTGATGCGGGCTATTACAATTCTGAGGGTTTTGTTGCACCATTTGAAGGAGTTTGTTATGGCCTCCATGAATACGGAGGTGCTAATCAATTGCCAAGGAATGCGAAAGAGTTGTTCAATAACCGTCATGCATCATTGGGGAATGCTATTCAGAAGTCATTTCATGTCCTAAAGACAAGATTTCCCATCCTCACCATTGCTACTCAATATGCTTTTCACACGCAAAGGGATATTGTCATCGCAGCATGTGTTCTTCACAATTTCATTCGGAGTGAAGAGAGGAACGATTGGCTGTTTGATGAGGTTGATGGGTCACCAATTGAAGAAATTCCCGACGTAGATGACCAACTTGATCCGCTGCTCGCTTTTCCCCATGATCAAGAGCAGATGGGATACGACTTGCGCGACATGATTGCTGCTGACATGTGGAATGACTTCATCAATCATTGGGATCAATGGTGATTTATTGTGGTTCCCAAAACAGTTATTTTTTTGTTCTGTTGTAATGATATCTTTGCATGGAAAAACCATATACTCCGTATTAAGCAGCCGCTGCAGATTAAGAAGCATATATGTATTACGGAGTAAATTAGTTCTAAAATCTCTTAACGAACGCATGCTTGCTACTGGTATTTCACAACTCTTGCATTCTTTTGCTAACTGATTAGCTTAGGTATGGAAATGCGGAAAAGGATACTATTATCGGTCAAATGTAAATGTAGCTATGTTTTGAAAACTCTTTGAATTAACTACCAAAGTGGTACAAGAAGAAACTCTTCTACGCAGAAGTTCATACCCATGTGGTTTTGATGCTCCCATTCGTTCCAAACTTTTCTTAGTTAAACACTTCACAAACTAACTACGGAGCATAATGTAAATGTAATATTTTTACTTTAGAATACTCCTTTTGCTCTTAAATAATTAACAATTTTACTATCTAAATCTTTCGATAACTTTTGTTTACTCGTATATTTTCATTGGTCATTTGATAAAATAAAATATTCTTGTCGCATTTTATTTTGTAGAGTTTGTAATGTAGTTTTTAAATATGTAATTTGTAATTTTTATTTCTATACCAATTTATAGATGAAATTATTTTTTTAAAAAGATGAATTTTGCACGTTGTTCGAACAATGTAAATGAATTTGGGAAGTGTTGGTGATTTTAGTGTCATCGGTTTATTTTGTATAATTGAATGTCATCGGTTTATTTTGTATAATTGAATTTACTTAGATCGGACAAGAATTTTAATAAACGTTGTCAAACGAGTTAGGAAGCGCGGAGTGCGCGCTCGTTCAATGATATTACAAATTCACTGCGGGGTCCGGGGGCGGCAGTCCCCGGGATAGCGGGAGCCCGGGGGCGGCAGCCCTCATCTCAATGGATCGGGTCATGCTACACTTACACCACATATTGTACCCCATTTGTACACCGCAGGCATATACAAACATTTTGATAGTTTGCACCGACACAAGTGTTGGTGCATTAACAAAAATTTACACGGACATGTAGTGTTTGTGCATTAATAAAAATTAGTTTTAAAGCAAAAGAAGTGTTCTCAGACTTGATAAAATCATCGTTGGAGCGCCTTCTTCCTCATAGTTCTTCACCCAAACTGCAATTGCGCCCTAGCCCGATTTCAGTACTTCCCAGGTTAGTTTCCCCTTTGCTACAATGTCTTCTTCGAATTTCGATTCCTCAGCCCCGTCTTCTAGTCCCGCTCTAGCAGACCAGCCGATTAACCCTGGTCAGGCTCGGGGCCCACCCGGATCGCCTCAGCTATCATCGGCAGCTCCATCCGATAGGGGAAGGCAGCGATTAAGGAAACAGTTTTCCTCCCCACAGCCCAAGCTATTGGGCCCTAGGGTTGAGCTCGAGGAGAATATCATGGCGTTGTGCCACTGCCAAATCTCGGATCAAGGCTTTGCGGATGCTACCAACATGGCCGGACCCGCCATTGAGGTTCGGAGACCTAGCAAGACCGAGACTACCCTAAACGCTCCCAAAGAGTTCTTCACTGTGCATCTTGCTTCCCTGAAGAGGAGTCTGCGATCATGTTGCACCCTCTGGTCATGGATTTCTTGAACACAGTTGACCTCCTCCCCTGCCAATTAATCCCTAACTCCCATAGGTACATAGCGGGTTACCTGATCAAGTGTCAGGATGCACGAGTGACTCCCACTCTAGACCATTTCCTGTTCACCTTCAAATTAGCGAAGGGGCACTAGGACTAGGCCTCCTATGCTTGCATTTCCCAACAGACGAGCAAGCTCTTTTCAAGTGACAAGAAGGGGTCCACTAAATACTGGAAGCCCTTTTTTGTATTTGTCTCTACCGGGCCAGAATCTCCCTTTACCGGCTCTGGAAATCCCTCATTTTGCCGTGTCAAGCCACCGCCGGTGACGGCCAAGATTTTGGCTGAGAAGAAGAAACTCTGCCTAGGGGGTCCGTCGATATTAGGACAGTGGTCACCGAGGAGTGCCTGACCAAGCTTGGGATCGAGTTCGTCAAGGATGATCATCGCCATCAACCAAACTTGTTAAGGGACATCCCCGAGAGGAACGATGATTCAAGTCCCTTCGGTAAGCCCCCTTAGACTAAATCTCTCTTGTTTCACCATCATTATCTTTTACGGAGTATTAGTCACTCAATGACCGCCTTGTATTATTCAGTCAAGCAAGAAGAGGAGACAGAAAGTGATATGGACCAGTTCCAGCTAATGCGTCATTACATCGCGCGGGATTAGAAGAGTTGCAGCGCCCGTCCTCAGGCCAGGAGGTCCACTCCCTGGTCGATCACGTGGTGTTCGATGGATAAGATCCAAAGGAACCAACTCCCATGGCGGGATTGGAGACAATGGTGACCAACTCTCCCCAAGAAAAAGGATCCATGGGGAAGAACTGTCTGGGCGCCACGTAGATCACCACTTGGTGCAGCCCACATCTAGGGTGACCATGGGCGAGCCTTCCGAGCGCCCTCCCTCCTTGGTCGACCCCCCTCCTGTCGTGAACATTGACATAGAGACCAAAACGGGGTCGGCGAGGTTTTGCGTGCCCCACCGCCAGTGTGTGGGCTTGAAGGAGTTTCCTGCGGAGACAACAGCCACGCTTCCCTCTGCCGACCAAGCCTGTCTGTCTGCTTGTTCTAATCGGGACTTAGCAGACATGATCCTCTTCAAGTTTGGCCAGGTATATGCTTCAACCATTATTTGTTTCCATTCATTGTTTTCGTCTTGTGTCTAAAAGTTTTCAATCTTTGGTGCAGGCCTCCCTTGGAGTGTTGGAGCTTGCCCGTCGAGCGACCATCTTCTCTAGATGACGAGAGGAAGTTGTCTGCGGCTGAGAAAAAGAAACTGCAAGACAAAGTCAACCGCCTCAGTAGGGAGCTGGAGCTGCTGGAGGAAGGGCATCTGAATACCAACCTTCAATGCCGTGTTGGGCAGCTCGAGAGAGGGACAAGAGCAATCTTGAGAAGGAAAAGCACGATCTCCAGAGAGAGAGAGAGAGAAGAGCAACCTGCAGGCGCGAGTCGCCCACTTGGAAGAGGAGAAAGTTTCCCTGTCCTCTCAAGTGGCATTAGTTTCAGACCGGGTGGCCGAGCTGGAGGTCGAAAAGGGCGACGTAGTCCATCGCCTTGAAGAGGCAGTCGAGACCTTTACAGTATGTTTGGTTCAAGGAATTAAGAAAATAAGAAAGAAAGGAAAATGATAAGGAAAAGAAAAGAAAAGAAACTCAAAATTCTAGTTATGTTTGGTTAAGATGGAAATTGATAAGGAAAATGTATTCTCATACTCTTTTTGTTTGGTTAGAAGGAAATTTGGTGAGAAAATAATATAAATTCATATTTGAACGCAAAAGATTTTATTGAATCAAATTTGAACACAAAATAAACTTTAGCATTTTTAATAAATTTTTTTTTAATATTATCGATTAACTCTAAAATACTAACATAAAACTTATAATTTCCAACATTGAAATTTACTAGTTATTTGTTATTTATGAAAACAAAAAAAAATTATTCTCAAATAGCCCATGAAAGAAAAGTAGATTACAAACAGCCTAGTATTTTCATTGCCAAAGGTTAATGACAAAAAAATAAAACCAAAAGCATATAAATATGCAGTGCTTACAAACATCCCAGGAAGCACCGAAGCATTATACTGGTTTTTCGAATGTGAGGAAACTGCCGAGAAGGTTTCAGAGACGGGATTCTCTCGATTTCCGTCCGAAATCGGGAGGAAAATGAGTTTCCCGTTTTTTAATCCATTTTCTCTCCACTTTTCTTTTTCTCTCACTTTTCCTTTCTTTTTCTCACTAACCAAACATAAAAAAAACATTTCCTTCCTCCTATTTTCTTTTCTATTCCCAGCCAAAATCCTTGAACCAAACATAGTTAGTGTTAAGGCTTCTCAGGAGTTCAGCGCGACCGCCATGGAGCGGATGGGTGAGTTAGTCCCCTCGTGGACTAAAACCCATCTCGGGGAAGATTGACTAGTTCATCATGGAGAGGCTTCCTTCCAGCTGGGGCTCTTCCCGGCTCAAAAGGTCTTTCACCGCAAGCAAGGGAACTTCTCTCCCCGGTTTTGGCCTCCCCTTCTTTGCAATGACTTCAAGGATTGTGACCTTGCGCCCTACAAGGATGGGGCGGATTCAAGCAACTCTGAGCAGGAGAGCAAGAAGGCTGGCCAGATCGACTAGGGTAACCAAAACGACCAAAGCGAGGGAGCTCCCCAAACAGCTGCCACGGCTGAAGAGGCGGGCGAGGCTAAGCTCCGTGGTGAGGGAGACCCCAACGCTAGCATTTGAACGAGCAACCCTTGTCTTTTTATTTTTCCAAACTTGTCAAAGGTTTTACAGTTGTGTTGGATTTGTATAGCTTGGGGATTGCTTGACTTAATTTTTGAACTTATCCGCATATTGTGTGCTTGACTTAATCCTTCCGTTTGCATTTTCTCCTTCGCCCAGACCGATGCTGGGCCCAACACCTTGGCCCAGTCTTCTTATTAAGCCCACTAGCGCGTCAGCCCTGATCCTCTTATCGCCTAAGTGTGCCGCCCAGATTCTGTGATTGGGCCAGCCCTCTACCCTAGGCTAACTTTATCGATCCAGCTGCCTTCATATTGACCATTGTGACCCTTCGATTTCTTCGCCCTACATGCTTTATAATCATCGCCTTGCTCCGTTCATTCCTCCTCATGTCAACATATCCTCTTGTCTCTAACCTTTGGCATACTCACTTCATCCTTTTGTCATGTCCGAAGAAGCGGCAACCTCCCTAAACCTTTCCGACGGCCCTTCTCCTTCTTCACCAGAACCCATCTCTTCCCCCAAGTCCATCAATTTTAACGACTAGGGGGACTGGACCCTTACGAGTTTTGCTGTCGTCTTCCTCAATGCAGTTGGCCCATGGTGAGGCCATCGTGGATTCCTCCGAACCTATATGATGACTTTAGCAGGGCCAACAAGGCGCTTATGTCCAACCACCCCCCCTCTGGCGAGATAGATTGGGATGCTCATTACCCCATCTACAGGAGGCATTATGCGGCTTCGAAGAGTGTGCAGGACAACTAAGATCCAATCGGTCGATCGTCCTCTAGATATTGAGCGCGTCCTTGTCCCCGATCAACTTTTGCCTCTCGTGTGAGTGGGCCTTTGGACGTTGCCGAGGATTCCTCCCTTAGTTCCTTCCGCTTTTCCCTAAGATCCTCCTTCTGGGCTGATCGGTTATCTTGTAGTCAGTCGAACGCGGAGGTCCGCGGTCTCTTCAGCTCGGGATCCCCCAACCTTTCGAAAGCAGAGGCTCGCTAGAACGAGGATGAATCACCTTCGTCATCTAATCTCGACAGATCATCCTCAACCGTAGCCTTCCCATTTGGACTTGGTCGCCCTCTTCTTCTTGGAGCATCGTGTCTTCTTCTTCTTCCCTTCTAACCCCGCAGGTCCGGCCTTTCCCCCAGCCTACGCCCCTGTTACGTCGCTGATCACAATCTCCTGATTCGAGGTCAAGGCCGCCACCATCTTCTTGAATTGCTCAGACATGATCCGATATCCGTTGGATGAGGAGTTCAGCTTCCGTCACATTGATAGGGAGGTGACGGCCCCCGATGGCAATAGTCTCCCCTTGGTGAGGATTGCCGGTGGGTTGATTGGCGTCGTGGAAGGTTTCTTCTGTGATATAGTAATATTCTAAATAAACACATACCTCTTATTAAATGTATCTAGAATTTATAAAGTTTCTTAAAGATATATTTTCCTCTTGTGATACTTCGAGTTTCAGTTTGAATTTCTCTATTATTTGTCATGTCATTGACAAATAAGTGACAGTTTTATCAATTTTAGTTAGAATAGCGAGGGAAATTGAGTTTTACACTTCTACTTCAAATTTTACGAAATCATTAATATTGTTAATTATACTTTTGTATAGAAAGATCAAGAAAAATGAAATTTGTAACGAGAAAGATGTGAATGAAAATATAGGAAATGTGGGGAATAATCAGTTCAATAAAACTTATCATGCATATCAATATAAATATATAATTATATAACCCACATGTTTGTTTACTTTAAGAAAAAATTTAAATTATAAACTTATTTTTTAGACATTGGGCATGTTTGAGAATAACGTCAGAGATTAGCGTTAGCGTTTGGATAAAATTTTAACGGTGCAGATTACTTTAAAAACGCTGACCGTAGATAACCTTTTTCAAAACGCTAACGCTAATCTCTAACGTTATTCCCAAACAGGCCTATTCAATAATAAAAGTATGAAGTTATTTTGAAGATAAAGGGAGAAAAAACAATCAAAAAAGATATTCACTAAATGAAACACTCGGGTTTAAAGTATAATTTGAACACAGAGGAAAAAGTGCTCCCGTTTGGTACATGGAATTCAAATTATGGAATTGGAATTAGGGACTTCAATTCCAATTTTAGTGTTTGGTAGCACAAAAATTATGTAAATTTGGAATTGATAGTGCAAAAAATGAATTAGAATTGACAGAATTCAATTCTATGGAATTGAATCTCATGGAATTCCAATTCAATTCCAATTCCACCAATTCCTTATACCAAACGGATCCTAAAAGAACTTGCACTAAATGGAAAAAAATTGTATTAAGCTCTGTGAAGAGTTTCAAGAAAGAAAAAAAATGCTCCATAGTCCACTTGGAAGCATTTCAATGAAGAGAAAAAGTAGTATTGATGCGGAGGAAGCATATTGGTATAGTATAAGGAAAAACAAGAAGCAGAGGCAGTCCATATCGTACCCAAAACAACAATAAGTCTTTGAAAGCACGTGATGGTGTTGGTGTGGGAAAACTGGAGAGAACATAGCCACACCATTTGGGGTCATACAAAACAGTCGCTACAAAAAGTTGCAGTTCATGGACGGGTTCTTAATCGGTTGGGGTTATATATCTTTCTTCCTACATTCTGTAACTAACTACTGGTGTCAAAGAGAGGTGGATATACAAGATGATGGCATGCATTGCATGTCAATAAGTTAATACATCAACTTGGGAGCCAATGTGCTGGTGATCATCAAGTGAGAACATGTACAAAAAGAACAAAACTTAAAACCCAGCGCACATGTCAAAAAGCTCTGGCCATGGCCTTCCCAAGAAGACCACCCTTACCGGTACAAAATGCAGAGGCAGTTCCAGCCAACTCATCCTTGGGCAATCCCCCGGTCTTGGGTCGGCCCAACATGAAACGGCGGCACTTGACGCAACTGAACTGAGCAGGAACGCTATCAATGTCTGGTATTCCAGCGCACCTTGTGTGTTGCCATATGCCACAGGAGTCACATGCCAGCATTCGCTCGCCGTCATCGTCCTTGGCCCCACAGTGGCATTCCACTGTCCAGCTCTCAAGACCTCTTTCCATTCTAAACCTACTCAGACCGTTCTTCCCTAGGCATCTCCCCCTGACTCTCACGCATTGTGCTGACCCTAA